AGAAAAAGCATTTGACAAAATTTAGCATCCACTTATGATAAAAACTCTCAGCAAAGTGGGAATAGAGGGAACATACCTCAACATAATAAAGGCCATATACGACAAACCCACAGCTAACATCATACTCAATGAGGAAAAGCTAAAACATTCTCCTTAAAATCAAGAAAAAGATAAAGATGCCCATTTTCACCACTTTTATTCAACATGCAATAGTACTGGAAGCAATCCGATATGAAAAAGAAAAGGCATCCAAATGGGAAAGGAAGAAGTAAAACTGTTATTTGCAGGTGACATGATACTATATAGAAAGAACCCCAAAAGATTCCACCTAAAAACTGTTAGACCTGATAAATGAATTCAGCAAAGTAACCAGATACAAAACTGGTATTCAGAAATCGGTTGTGGGCCGGCCAAGTGTCGTGTTGGTTAAGAGCTGGCTTGGGACGCCAGCTCTGAGCAGTAGGGCCCCATTTGGGATCCCACATGAGGGCCAGTGACACTGCCCTCTACAGCTAAGATGGTGAACAACAGCTCGACCTGGAGCTGGGCTGCTGTGAGGCAACGGCATAGGCTGCAGCCCCTGCTGCAGTGGGTTGCCATAAGCTACCGTGTGTGGCTGGCAACCAGCGTGAACGGCTGGCAGCCGTTGTGAGCTGCCGTCCAGAAGCCGGCGACTGATCTGCCTCACCCTGGAAGAGTGCAATGATAATACCAGCATGGGCCAGTGAAGTGGTATCCTCCACAACTAGACTGAAGAACAAAAGGACAGCAACTTGTCTGTTCCCCTTTCCCGATTCCCCAACGCTGTTCCCTCCCCTGATTCCCCAATAAAATCTTTAAAAAAATAATAAATAATAATTTGTAATTTTTTTTAAAAAAATTGGGTAATCGGGGGAGGGGGACAGTGTTGGGGTATTGGGGAGGGGGACCAGCCAAGTTGTTGTTCTTCAGTCTTAGTTGTGGAGGGTGCCAGTCTCCATCTGGCTGCCCGTCGGCAGCTCGTGGCCTCTAAGCTCTAGGTGCTGTGTTCAGTCTTAGTTGCGGGTGGGTGTAGGCACCATCCCATGTGGGAGTCAAACCAGCAGACTTTTTGTTAGGAGCGCACACTCTATTCCCTGAGCCATCCAGGTGGCAGCTCAGCTCAAGGTGCCGAGTTCAGTCTTAGTTACCGGTGGGTGTAACCCGCCATCGAACAGACATTCTTGTTAGGGGCACGTGCTCTCACCAGCTGAGCCATCCTGTTGGCAGCTCAGCGGCAGCTCAGCTCAGGCGCAGTGTCACTGGCCCATGTGGGAATTGAACCGGCAGACCTGTTGCTCAGAGCTTGCGTTCTTAAGCTAACGCTTAACCAACTGAGCCACTCGGCGGGCCCTACAGTTTTTTAATGTCCACAATTTAAGCATGAGGTTTGCATAGAGAGCTGGTGTGCTTGTCATCTAGTTCACTGTTTCTTGCCAAATAGAACTATTTTCTGAGTCTTGTGTAAATTTAATGCACATAATGTACATATAGTTGATTCAACTATGTAGTACTGCCTGCAGTTGAGTGGCAGGCCTGACGTATCTATTTCTTAGGACTTTGGTTTACCATTTATGGCAATTGCTCTGACAGCAAATCTTGTGTCTGTCACAGTCTGTGTCTGCATGTGTGAGCTGGTGTCCTGCGATGCACAAACAGATGGGCTTATTGCTGTTAATTAGCTATAGGCAGAAAACAATGTGTGTGAGGTAGATTTTTCTCTCACTCTGTTTCTGTGCATGATGTTAAAACACATAAACAGTTGTCACCTTCTGGAATTTTAGTTCTTACAACTTGATCTCTTATGTTAAATGAATAAAGTTGTTTCATGAGACTCCTATAGTTCCTGAAATCTAAATTTTTTTAGTTCCTTAAAAAAGGAAGGCGAGAATTATTATAGACGTAGAGCACCTTGTAAAAGCTTGGACTGATCTGAAGAGTGATTCTGAAGGTTAAGAAGCCACCAGGTGCGGTGTCCTCACAGCAGGGCCTGTTCACACAGATGTTTGCACTAGCTGCTGCTTCTTTCACTCTATAGTTGATTCTCTTTTACCCCTGAGTGTGAATATCCAGTTGTTTTTGGAGTAAAATTGAGGCTCTGGCTCCTGAATCTGCCCTGAAGATTTGTTTGTTTCTCTCTATAATTCTGGACTGCCATGTTCCTATTGTTAATCCGCTAGCTTTCTGCCAAACATTTTTCTCCTATTTTCTTCCTGCTTTTGACTAGCTACACTTCATTGTATGTCATGGAAATAGCATGCCCTGCAGTCTACATAGGTAAAGCAAGAATTTTAGAAGAGAAAAGTGATCTTAGATGAAGTCCTAAGCCCAGCCTGTGTGTCCAAGGTGTCCTTCACTCAGTTGTGTATATGCCTGGGTCTGCTTCGGACAGGTCTGCCTTTTCTTTGTATAACATCTGACTTCACTGTCTTGATGTCGCCAGAAAATAATGTCACTAAAACACCAGGATGACAGTACTGAACCAAGATAAGCCATTTCAAATGGCCAGATTCTGTATTATGACGTTCATGGTGAATATCCTCTTATAACCACAGTTACCCGCCACATTAAGGACTTTTAGAATAACGGGACGTAATAGTTGGCGTTTCAGGTAAAACAGAAAGATCATGTTGCACTTGGAGAGCTTGTGCATTTATATAAGGATTTGAAGGAATTCATGACATTCAACATCCATTGGTTATACTTCATTAGGCTTCAATGATAAAGATTTCAAAGAAACAGGAGGAATATTTCCATGCCAGCACAATGTTTATATTTACCTGCTTTGGGATATATTCGAGGTTTTCTGCAGGAGTGGAGCAAACCAACAGGCACCTTGTCAGGCTCTAAGCACGTTTTATCTGGAATCTATCCAATCAGAAAACAGAAATAACTGGGGACATTTTTTTTTTGCTCTACAGGGTGACTAACATTCACGATGACTGAGAGCATCTTACATAGTTGAAGTGCTTTTAAATCATTACATAAAGAGTAGTGATTTAGTATGTTCAGTATGATTTAGTACGTGTATTTCACCACCTTGCACCTAGGTCCTGTCCTGGTCCTGGGTGATTCTGATCTGCTAGGATCCTTCCTCACAGCCTAGGACCTCTTCATCGCCACATTATCCTCGTGGCCACACCCTAGACCTTGTCATCTCCTGGAACAGCTCCTCTCATGGTGAAATCACAACTTAGTCAACCCCTCTCTGACGGTAGCCTCTGATCCTCTCACTTCTTCTCCCTTGGATGTACCAGCACTTGGACTTTTGGGGGGCCACCCAGCCATGGATCCCTTGGCCTTTCCCCCTCTTTCCATCCCTTCCTGCCTTCCCTTTCAGACCGCTTAGCCCACGGTGTCCATTGGCTTGGTCCTGTCATATGCTCAACTCCCTATGTCCTCCATTATTTTTCTGGCTTGCCTGCCTGGAAAACCTGTGACCGTGGAGCAAGCCAGCTGCCCCTTCTCCACGTGTATGGGGCTGCTGAGAGCTGTAGGAGAACATCCCACAGCTTTCCAGTGTGTTGCCATCAAAACTCATGACCTTCCCTCTCGCTGGTTTCTTACAGTCCCAGGAATTTCTCTGTAATTTCCCAAGTTATTTCTCTCTATATTGCCAAAGTTTGATCCACCTGGCTTCCCAGATACTGGTTTACAGTGCTTATCTAATCTCATACTCCCTGTTTAGGCTCTCCGTGGCTTCTCAGTGCCTTGAGAATAAAACCGAAACCCCTTAGTTTGACCTCCAAGGCTCGCCATGCTCTGGTTCCTGCTTAGCTCCAGACTCCTCTGTTACCCCTCCTTATCATATGTTATTTGCTCACTGTTTTGAACTATATTCAGTTTCTGATAAGCACCGGCTTTCTCTTCATGAACTTACTGTCCATTTTCCTGAAACACTTCCTCTCCATGCTTCACCTGATTAACCCTTTCTCCTTCAGTCATATACTGAGGAACACTTCCAAGCTCTCCGTGCTCCACTGCCCTCCTCCCACCAGAGAATGAGTTAAGTGCCCCTTCTTCACCCCCCAACTTTCCCCCTGAATTTCCCCTATATTACCACTTCTTGTATTGCCTGTTTATTTGTCTGGCTCGCTTTGTGCGGGCAGGGACAGTATCTGTTGTGTTCATGGCTGTGTGCTTACCTAGTACCTGGGAAGTGGTCTTGGCAGACTGTAGACATTTAATACAATTTGGGAGCGAATTACTGGATTCACAGATTATTCACTAAATGAGTCCTGTGTGATAACTATGATGGCATCAGCTAATATCTGTGGAGGCTTGACCATGCACCAGGGGTTGTTCTGATAAATTAACAGGTATTAATTTCTTTCTTTCTGGTCAGTACCCCATGGGGCAATTTCTCGTATTTTGCTAGGTCTATGAATAATGGTGGTTGGATGCGCTTTTAACTGCTCCTTTGCTCTTTTTCTTTGTGTGTGGGCAGGACCTTTGTCAGGTTGTGAGGATGAAAATGGGGGCTCTGGGGAGTTAGACAAGTTCTCTACTCCTAAGGAGTAATGGTCCATGGGGAGAGAGAGTAAAAAGGACAGCTCTTCCAACATAAAATGCTCAGTTTCTTGAGGGACACTTCTGTGAGGTACCATGGAAGGGTTAGAGGAGATTTGTATTTTAATTCTTCGAAAGTTAATAATTTTTATGTAGTATACACATACTGTAGTAACTTAATTCATTAAGTAGAACACACTATTTTCTAACTCTAATTCTAATAAACTCTAATGTTATAAAACAACTAAATAACATTGCTAGATGCCTTTAGCTTACAAAGGGAAGTTAAATGAGAGTTTATTAAGTTTCTATAGATTTCCAGCTTCCTAGCAGCCAAAAAATAGAATTATATTTACCAAAATTGAAGCGATACCCATCTTTGTTTGAAAAACGCGTATCACAAAATAGATTTCTATGTGCAGTACGAAACACTTGATTTTTGAAGTTCATTGGTCTTACTGTTGATCTTACAGGAGAATCATGAAAAAAGTGTCCATGGAGCCATCTGAGCGGCTGGCCAGTCTTCAGGCTCTGTGGGACAGCCAGACTGTGGCTGAGCAGGGCCCCTGTGGTGAGCATGCATTTTAAAACCCAAAATAAATGGCTGCATGAATATCCCCCAGCCAGGAAGTGAAGTCTATTCCCAGTATACTACTGTAAAGGTGCAATTAGTTTTAAGGTATAATTAGCACCGCACAGACTAGATTGGTGGACAGAAGTCCTGTATTTAAGCTGTATTGCATTCTGCTCTGTACCTACTATAGAACAGGGAGGAGAATCTTGGTTGTTTTCCCAAACAGAAAAAAATGATCAGCCCTTGTCGAACGTTGGCCATGTTTAAACTTAAAAATTTTAGTTTAAAAATTGTTTAGTTGAAAACTTGTCACATTTCTATTGTATGTTTCAGGTGGATTTTCTCAGATGTATGCCTGTGTTTGTGACTGGCTAGGGTTTCCATACAGGGAAGAAGTACAATGGGTAAGTGTATCAGTGTACACATGCGTGTGCATTCTCTCTCTCTCTCTCTCTCTCTCTCTCTCTCACACACACACACACACACACTCACACTCACACACAGACAAGCACGTATACTTGGAGAATATCCCAATATTTGTAAATATTGGATTATTTCTCTTTTTCCCACCATTCATTTTTTTTCCTTACAATCTTCCTTGCTCAGATTACGTTAAATATCTTCCCATTGCATTGTATGATTCTCTTTGCATCTCTCTTGCTTCCCTGCTCATTTGCCTGGACTGTTTACATGACTGAGTTATATTTCAAATAGGATGTGGATACAATTTATCTGACACAAGACACTCGGGAATTGAATTTACAGGACTTCAGTCATCTTGACCACAGGTAAGCTGCTTCTTTCTTTCCTTTCTTCTATTTCCAGTTTTGCTTTTAGAGCCACACTTCTCTGCTGACACTGAGTGATGGTCTTTATCTCTAGAGCAGCGGTTCTCAACCTGTGGGTCACGACCTCTTTGGGGGTCGAACGACCCTTTCACAGGGGTCGCCTAAGACCATCAGAAAACAAAAAGATATTTATATTACGATTCATAACAGTAGCAAAATTACAGTTATAGGGTAGCAACGAAAATAATTTTATGGTTGCAGGTCACCACAACATGAGGAACTGTATTAAGGGGTCACGGCATTAGGAAGGTTGAGAACCACTGCTCTAGAGAATCCTTTTATAAGGGGAATCAGGAGAATCTAAGAATCTCTGGATTTTGCCTTTCAATTAATAGTCTCAAATGTATTCATCACTATGAATGCTTTAATGTGTATCTCAAATTGAGAGTTTATGGTTAGAAAATGTGCTGACTTTTACTGTGAAAACAATGTAATTCTCAGGTTCTTATACCAACTCACAAAGTGTATTTAGTCTAGCCTATATGTAAAATATAGTTCTTTTAACTAGTTGCCATGTAGAACATTTTTTTCTAGGAGGAACTTTTTTGCTGAAATCCTAAGAAAGGACTTAGTTCACAATTTTTTTATGAATTGGGGATTGCTAAGGTATACATGCAGATATTGGTAGGAATCACTTAGCCAATAGCTGCCTTATGATAGCGATAAAACTTTGACACGTGTGACAAGTTATTTGACTTTTAGGTTTTAAGATATTGACTTTAGTATATTTAGGGCCATGGCTATGTGATCAGGCCCCAGACAGAAAGCTTTGTTCAGTCCCCCCATTTCTTTGCAAGGATAGACCTATCAGAATTATTTTACACCTCCTACCCTGAATGTCTTTTCTGGTAATTTTTCCTGGCCTACGCCAATCTCCTCAACCCCAGATATGCTGCAGGGTGAGCAGAAGTCAGCCCTCCCACAATGTACCCCAGCTCAGTAAGTCTTTTCTCTCTGTTTGGAATCGAGAAAGAGAATCTGGGATTCCAGCAGTATGTACCTTTTATGCCATTTGGGCAATTGGGATTACAGAGAGCATTGTTGGCGCTTCTTGCCACCAACATCTTGCTCCCCCAGATAAGATGTCAAATGATTATTTCATCCACCTGGATGGAAATCTAGAATGGTAGTGGGGTTCCTGAAGCTTTCTAGCTGAATTGAGCCAAGAAAACGTATCCTAGAAGGATCTAGCTCCTCTCTGCATGGACTGGGTCCATGAACGAGGGTGGAGCAGGCTCAGCCCTGTCTGTGGTTGTGGCTCAAGTGCCTAAAAACATGGTTCTCAAGCTTGGATTTGCTTTTTTTTTTGGTGGAGCAGGCAGTTTTCTCCTGCTCATATATGGTCTTCCTCTCCCTACATATGAGGTAATTCATAATCAGATTAAAGGAAGATGTTTCCTGTGCGGTGCATAAAAAAGGGAACTGAGAAACAAAGGGAAAATACTTTAGTTTGAATTTTCCAGTAAAAAACAGATAATTGCATGTAGGCTAAGAAAGGAATAGGTGGGACCTAGAGCATCTAATCTCAATGTTTTTGGTCCCAGGATCCCTTCACATTCTTAAAAATGATTGGCTTTTGTTTCTGTGGGTCATAGCTTTTGGCATTTGTCAAATTAGAAGTTAAAACTAAAATAAAAAATATTTGTTTATTAATTCCTTTAAAAATACATAAACCTATTACATGCTAACATAGATACCATTTTTATGAAAAATAACTTTTTTCCAAAACAAAAATATGTGAGCAAGAAGAGTGGCATTGGATTTCCTTTTTGCAGATCTCTTTAATTGGCTTAATAGAAGACAGCTGGATTCTCAAGTCGGCTTCTGTCTTTAATCTGTTATGATATGTTGCTTTGGCTGAATTATGTAAAGAAAATCCAGCCTTATGCAGATACGTAGTTGGAAAAGGGCATATGTTTAATATACTTTTCACAGAATTATGGTTATTCTTTTTCGATTCTTCACTGCAATTCAACAAGTGATGGTTTCTTTAAGATCATTGGCAACATCTGAAATGATATCAACCAACATAATTTTGTGTTTTGTTACATTAAAATTCATTTGGTCTGTCTTGTACTTTGAGTGGGTCTTACTTGTATATGATTATGTAGCATTCCACATTGGTCATTTAGAAAATACTGACTCACTGAGTTATGCATAGCTTCCAAATATTTTGCTGTTGCACAATAGGGAAAAATGACATTTGTTAACTGTCACCACTGAATATTATTAATCTGGCAGAGAAAGACAAATACCATATGATTTCACATATACATGAAATCTAAAAACAAAATAAACAAAACAAAAGCAGACTCATTGATAGAAAGAAGAAACTGATGGTTGCGGGGGTGGGTGAAAAGGTGAAGGGATTAAGAAATACAAATTGTTAGTTACAAAACAGTCACGGGGATGTAATGTACAGCATAGGGGATATAGTCAATAATATTGTAATTATATATGGTGTCAGGGAGATATTAGACTTATGGGGGATCACTTCATGAGTTATATGAATGTCTAACCACTATGTTGTACACCTGAAACTAATATAATATTGAATGTCAACTGTAATTGAAAAATAAAAAAATTAAAATTAAAAAAGTCTTTAATTATGGCAAAAGTCTCAAGCTCATAGTGGTGGATAAAAGTTTCCCAAAATTCAAATTTTTGGTTTAAAGATGCAATTTTAGTTTGGACTAAAAAAATGCTGCCAGGTAATTTCCTTAAAGTAACTGGCTGACTTCTTACATTTTAGAGAAAATGAGTGCCAAATCTTAAGTCTGAATAACTGTACTTTGTAATATTTTTCATGGTGTTTCATGGTAAAAAAAGAGAAGATAATTCTACTTCTAACTCCAACTATTACACAAATACTTTACATTGAAACAGTAATCACTTTGGCATATAGAGGAAATATTATGAATTTATGTCCCATTTTGTTAAACAGAATATTAACAGCCTTGTGCTCCAGGGCTGAGATTTAATAAAATGAGTACTTTTTACTTTTTCATAAAGGACATTCTTAAATAAAATTGGCATTTGTTTAATGAACATGCGGGTGTGTGGCCACGAGGGATATGGTGACTACTAGCTGAGCTTGGTACTACTACCTGAGTTGGTGCTAAGTCCCCAGCGGTTTTCCCCACCATGACTTTTTCACCATCCATGCAAATGTCAACATGGTGAAAAGGACGAATTTGTTTTAGTATCATTATAAAAATAGTTTTGAACTTGTGAACCCCCTGAATGAATCTCAGGGGCTTGCAGGGGTCCATGGACCATACTTGGAGAACATCTGACCAATATGAGTGAAGACACTGTAGGGCAGCTTGAGGTGTTTCTCGGGCTTTCTTTATTGCACATTTAATGATTTTTACACCATTAATACATTATGCATAGCATCAGCACTGAACTTTCCTCTAATTCGCTGGGCTCAATTTGGTGATGCTTCTATTGGCAGAGGAAAACTATATCTAGAGAAGTTACTAAGTACAGTTTTTTTTTTGGTTTTTTTAAAGATTTTTATTGGGGAATTGGAACAGTGCTGGGGAATTAGGGGAAGGGGAACAGACAAGTTGCTGTCGTCTTGTTCTTCAGTCTAGTTGTGGAGGACGTTGCTTCAGTGGTCCAAGTTGGCACCATCATTGCGCTCTTCCTGGGCGAGGCAGATCAGTCGCCGGCTTCTGGATGGCCGCTCACGGCGGCTGCTGGCCGCTCACACTGGCTGCTGGCTACACATGGTAGCTCATGGCAACCCACTGCAGCAGGGGTTGCAGCCTACACTGTTGCCAGCAACTCACGGCAGCCCAGCTCCAGGTTGAGCTGTTGTTCAGCATCTTAGCTGTAGAGGGGAGTGTCACTGACCCTCATATGTGGGATCTGAACCGGGGCCCTCTGGCGTCCCAAGCCAGCTCTTACTCAATGCACCACTCGGCCGGCCCTAAGTACAGTTTTTTGAAATAGGTAGAATACTATCAAAGTCAAGAAACTTTGTCAAAACTTTTAGAATTTTCCTACAAGTAGATTTTCCCTAATTCCTTTGCTGGAGAATTTTCAGCTCATCAGTAAACACAGCATTCATGGAGTGGACCGTATTCATCTCCTTTTCTTGCTTCTGAAGGGCTGGAAAGATTTTTTTTTCATTACTGATACTCTAGATCAGGAGTTGGAAAACATTTTTCTGTAAAGGGCCAGATAATAAATCTGTTAGGCTTTATGAGGCAGATGGTTGCTATCACAATTATGTACCCAGCACTGTTGTAGCTTGAAAGCAGCTCTAGATGATATAGGAATGAATGAGTGGAACTGTGTTCCAGTAAAATTTTATTTACAAAAATAAGCATTGTGGGCTTGGTTTGCTGACCCTGCCCTAGATCACTGGCCTCTTATGGGGGATCTATAACTGGCGGAAAATGCAAGATAAGATACAAAGAATATTAAAACTTTTAATTGTATTTATTGTTAACACATTAAAAAATTTATTTCTTTGTTCTAATATACAAAGTGTGATAAAAAAAAAACACGGTGAATGTTTAAATAAAAAAAGATTATTACAGTAAAAAACACATTGCCATTAAACCCCCTTAAAATTTTCCCCACTGCTTCAAACACAATTATCCCATCATTCTTGCCACTTTCTGAAGCAGCTCTGGATGTCCTCTTTCGTGAGTGTCTTTAAGTCGCACTCTTATGACTGCCTTGATGTTCTGAATCGATTCAAAACATTTTTCTTTCATGGTCATTTTGACTTTGGGGAAGAGCGAAAAGTGGCACTGTTCCAGATCCGGTAAATAAGGTGGATGAGGACACATCATAATGTTTTTATTTGACAAAAATTGTGGTACCAGAAGCGATGTGTGACACAGAGCGTTGTCATGATGGAGGATGAAGTAAAGATATTCACGAAAGAGGACTTCCAGAAATGCTTCAGAAAGTGTCAAGAA